TTGTTTTTGACCCATACGCTCATTTGATACATTCACGTTTAGGGCATGTCTCTGCCAAATGTCACTGGGGGAAGGGATATGGCCCAGCACCTGCTGCAGGAAGTAAACCTATGCAAATTGTTGGAACTTACACAAGCTCTGTCTTTGCACATCTCATATCTATAGGATGGCATAGGTGGTGAGTTAACGTCAGTTAATCATTCTTCCTTCACTGTAATAAACTGCGAAGCGTTATAGCACTTCGTGGACTTCAGTGAACAAAAGTCTGTGGTTCCATATATGTAGGAGAAAATCCTTTAATAAAACAGTTTTTATGCTTTGGATTTTCTGAAACTGCTGAGCATTTGCAATGTAGCCAGTGGATCTGCTTTGTGCCTCAGCTGGAACCTGAGTTGAGGCCTTGGCCTTTTCTCCCTGAAGTTACAGCAGGTAAAAGCTTGGTATGTACCTACATTTGTAACTGAGCAAATTTCCCCAGCTGACCCAAGAATACAGTTGGCTTCTTTCATATGCAGCTGCATGCAGCCCTTAGCCAAATGGATGGGTCATCATGACAAGGGGCCTCTGAAAGGAGAGGAGATGGTAGGGAGAAAATAGAAGAGAACTGCCAAATTGCCTCCTTCAGCAAAGCAGAATGCTATGGAGAGTAATGTTAAGTGCTGCTGTTTTTGAAAAGCCGCATTAAAAAGTCCAACAGAAAACACTCAAGTACAAGAAATGTTATTAGTCAAGATGTTTATATCTCTTCCCCCGAAGATTAAAGAAATTATTTTTAAAAGGGTAAGGATTTATGTGCAATAAAATAGTGAATTCTAAATAGAACACTGCAGTGTTAACCATGGGGGGGGAGCAGAGGGGTGGAAACAACAAAAACAACCCAACGACAAAAAAGCAATATTCAGGGTGCTAACGATTTGTGGTTTTAATATTCACTTAGTTGTTTGTTTTAGATTTCACTTATTTATTTATTTTGCTGTATAAATCCTGAGCTTGTGAAGATGGGTAATCTCTCTAAATAGATTCCATGATGCACAAGTAAGGCCATTTCTTCCTGATGATATAGATCACATGCATCTCCAGAGAAAGACAAAATGGCTCTGAGGCTGCTGACTATTAAACCAGAGGTTCCAGAGGCCATATAGGCAGCAGCACCTTTGAGTCACCTTGTGCAAGCCGTATTTATTTCATGTGAGAACTCTTCACTACTTTGTTTTAGGGCTGCTCTTCTTCACTGAACCCAGCATAGAGGGTGAGATTGAAACTCAAATGCTTTTGGTCCAAGCAAAATCAGAGATGGTAGTTCATAAAAGAGGATTTGTAAGCTAAATATAGTAAAACATAGTACTATGGTATCTCTGAGACAATAAATACAAGAGTTCAAAGTCATTTTTTTCAGCAATTTTAAGTTTTTTGACTCACTGTCCATCCTATAAACCCAGTTTGGAAAGGCAAGATGATGTATCTGTGTTTCATCAAGTTTTCTAAAATAGGTGTAGCTTCACTGCTGTAAATGAAGCTAATCTGCTTGTGTGATTGTATCCAACACTACAAGTTTGCTCTTGTGTTTGCCTGCATTTTAGAATCTCTTCGAAGCACCAGGGAAAACAGACATCTGTGTTTAAGATTGCTTTTATCAGACCCCAGTTTCTCAAAGCAGACCTATGGTTGTCTTATAACTGAAGGCTGTTCTCTGTGTACCGGTACACTAAATTCCTTTGGCTCATGCTTCTCAGTCACTTGGAGGGCTCTTCCAGAAGGTATAAAAATGGTGTGGCCAGAATATCCTTGCTCTCTCTAATTGCCAGGCTCCGGGGAGCCATAGCCAGCCATGTGTGGAGGTAATGATTGAAATGTGGCTCTACAGAGAAACTGATTGAAGCCAGTATCTGTAACTTTTTCAGTTCTCTTAAAATAAAGCCAGCAAAATAAACAAGCAACACTAAGCAAAAACAAAACAAAACAAAAAAAACAACTAACATGGATGCATATACATTTTAAGTTTTGGATTAAACTGCCTCTTTGCAATGTAGTTTGCTCATGTGCCCTCATCTGAATTGTGTTGTTTTTCTTTAGTTACTATGTCAGTGGAATGTGTTACTGCAGTGCTCTGTGGTGTTTATGGGGAAATGAGCAGCTGCTTTTGTATAATCGTGATGGTTCAGGTGGGCCTTTGGTCAGACAAGGTCAAATATGCCACTGCTGACAAGATAAAAACTCTTACTGAAGAAGGAGAATATAACTATTTCATAAAATATAGAAATCAAAGTGAAAATATCAATAAGTTTTTCAGAGTTATTTTTCCCTGTTGTTATCAATGCAGTAACAATAAGGACACTTACTTGAGCAGATGAGTAAATTAGAAATTTACGCTTCCTGTGTTCCCTTTGTATTCCACGGTAGAGTGGCTCCTTCACATATTGACTGAACCATAACTTAGCTATTCAAAACAATCCTTATTTTGCCGTAGATTTAAACTCTGCCTTCAGCTCTAAGTGATTTTTGTGCTCTGTCTGTATAATATACATGTCAGATGGTCTCCATGAGTGATCCATGTAGGGCCTTCTGCATTGAACAATTTCCTCAAGTAACTTCTGAGATAATTATTAAAAGGTAAGGATAAGGTAGAGAAATAAGGATAAGGTAAAGAAAGTTTTAAAAATATTTCAGCCCTTTCTTTTTTTTCTCTCTCTCTCATTGTAAGAATGTCTGTTAGGAGTACTTTTAATCATGTTTAATTCTCTTTGCTGGTACACAAATATGCTTCTACACTTGTAGGTTTTTATAAGCTGTAGATCAAATTAGTTAAATGGACACGCAATGAGATGCTAGGACTGGATGTTATTTGACTAGATGTTCTACCTGTGCTCAAATATGAAACTGCTGAACTGTCACTGGTGGTGTGATCTGGTGGTAGGAAAGGTTTAGAGGAATGGGAACTAGAACGTGATGTTGATTTAATAAGGACTCTAGGAGAATGAACAGAACAAGGCAGCTTGACTTTACTGGGCAAATGTGTAGAACTATTAAAAAAATAAATAAAAGGAATTGGCAGGCGTGTGGGTAAGTGTGTTTGGCAGAGAATCACTGCTGCTTTTGCAAATGTCAGTTTTCAAAAACCCAGGAAGAGTTTTTGATGGATTCAATGAGCATGAGAATAAGGGTAATCTAGTTGCTATTACTGGCACTGTTGTACCTTCAAACTAAGCCCCATTTCTTTATTAGTAGAGTTAACATAGAAATATACTAGCTAAACACGAGAACTGTGGCTGTAAGTTTTAGGAATTACTAACAAATTTTAGAGCTCTGTTCTACCGTTTGAACCCAAGCTGTGGAATCTCTTGGATTACTGAAAATGTTAATTTCTGGACCTACAATGGATTGTGTGTGAATTCAGTCCTTCTCATGTGCAGAGCCATGGAACTGAGGAACTAAGCAAAATAGAGATTGTAGATTTGGAGCAAAAGTGAGTACTGAAATAAACTATGTATTATAACATAATGGATGTCATCCTCAGATTCCACATATGTGCTCTACTTAGTCTCACAAGGGCCTTGTGTTAGACTGCCTCTTAAGAGTATTTATTTTCATATCTTACATGGAAAAGGTACAAAAAATATTAATATCAGCATACGTAACTGCCATGATGTGATTCTAGATTTGAATATCAACACATGGACCTAATTTTTTTTATTTAGATGAAACAACAAACTGCCATAATTTATTGTATGCTTGATTAATGTACTTCAGTGTTGTCTTGATAACTTGAAACACTGGCTTTTCTTTCATAAGTGATACATTTTATTGTACTTATTTTTGTCTCAGATGCATATTTGTCTCTGTTCATTGGTGCAAGAGGTCCAGTGAGCTCAGCAGCACTGGAAGATCCCAGTCCTATTACTGCTGTCATGCCAGTACTACAACTCTGGAAAGTGAAAAGGCTGCTAGAAAACAGTGGCAGAACTCTTACAGCGTTAGTTACAGGATGTTTCTTGCTCACAAGAAAAGTGCCAACATGTTGAATGATAAACAAGAAATGTCTTTTCTGAATTGACACTTCATATGCAAGATGAATATACATAAGCACAAGTTTAACTGAAAATGTCCATTCTCTATGGAGAGAAAACAGAATACTGCAGGGTCCTAGGAAAAGAAATCCCATCCATTTCCATAGGACCATCCATAGATTGAGGAGTTTATAGTATCATGTATTGTCTTCCTTTCTTGAATGTACTGTGTTAAGCTTTCGTGGACTAGAAAAGATTCAAGATTATTTTGTTTCTTACTCTAATATATTTTTTCAATGTGTTCTCTTTTTATAACGAGCGAAGTCACCGTTAGGCTGTGCCTGTATTAGACATTGTGCATTTAAGAATTCAGCAATATAGTTTTACTGTCAAATACCCTGGCAGCTGCTCCAATCATTAAGTTTGAACCAGTTCCCCAGATAGAATAAGCCATATTCAAGGAAAAGAGGAAGCTTTTGGCACTACAAAGATTTCTATTCTATGTTTTTTTGCCAACACAATTTTGACTGAAAAGAATGCAAGCATTTTTGTGCTCTTAACTGACATAGATATACTAACTGAAGCCAACAACTGTGAATAGACTTTTATAAGATTGAGAGGAAGTATCACAATACTTCTGTTGAATATGTAGACTGAGGTGCTTTACATGAAGTTTCTGAAAATTGAAGCTTGCTTGTCTGCTGTAAATAATAATAATAGACTGCAGCATTGCTTTTGTCCGAAAGCCTGTAAACAGAAAAAGCTAGATAGAATGTTTCAGTTGCACTGCAATCACTGGAAAACAGAGCTTCAGGTCAGCCAGAATTCATGCTGTGTTTGGCAAACAATTTAGTCACAAAAATGAAGCTTAAAGTATTTTTTTAATGTTTTTGAAATACAGTATTTTTATTTAGCATTAGCAGCAACATTTGATATGAAGTCTGTAGTTCTAGCTTGATCAACTTTTTGCTGTAACTCAGAGTAGTATTCTTCTGCAGAAAAGATGCTGCGCAGTTAGACAAATTTCCATTTTCAGTGAGGTGAAAATGCAAAGTTAGTTTGCATTGGAGAACCAGTTTCCACCTCTTGCTGTGAGGCTTAAGGAATATTTCATATTTTCCTCTGGCAGGTAGTGGTGAAGACACCATACAGTAATGGGTGTTTTTAAAGCTTGTGTTACATAATTTTGAAAATTCTACTGCATCTGACTTACCTTCAGAAGCCATTAAGCATGGCAGTAACATGTGATCCTTCACAACAAGGGAGCAGGCAGAAGGCTGTATTTTCTTCACAGTAAACACTTTGAATGTGGGTATTGCAAAGTGTCACCAACCAAAATCAGTGTTCATTTTTAAATATTGGGATTAAACTGAAATACTGCCTCTTAAAACAAGAGATAGCCACTTAGAGATTATGTTGACAGTCATTCAGTACCTTAATGGCAACCTGCTATTTTAGTATCAGTAGATCAGTATCTTAATGGCATGTCTTTTCATTCTAGCAGGAGAGCTTTCCTGTTTTTACATTGCCCCATTCACCATTTTGCTGCAAAACGATCTGGACGATCTCTGCTGGTGCACAGCCCTTTCAGACACAGAAGTAGTGGTACCTGAGAGTGATGGAAAACTTACCATAGAGGTAGGTGGGCTGGATTTTCACATCAACTTGTTTTATATGAACAGATAAATATAAATTTATATAAATATATAAAATGCTAAGATCTTCATTTGCTAAGAGACATAAATTTTAAAGCAAACCATTGAGATAAAAGCAGAGTGTAAATACTGAAACTAAGTGTAAAAGGAAAGTACAAATGGATAATTATGCATCTGCAGAAGCCTAAGTGAAACTAAAAAACCAGAGAGACTTGAGCTGAAAAAAAATTGCTAGAAGCAGTGGCAAAGAGCTTAAATCAGGTAGGATTACAAGTACTTTGGAATGTTTCTGCTGTAGATTCAGAGTTGTCATCTCTTTTCAATCTCAATATATCTTTACCCCATGCACTGACATGACCTTTTATTCAACCTAAGCTTGGATGACTTCGTGCTACCTTCCAGGAAAGGAACTGTTTTTTGCAGCTCCTCCTTACTCATTTTGAGAAAAGGATTAAATCTTTCCTCTGACCAAGCATACAGGCATGCTGAAGTGAAGCCACTTCATGCTCCTGGCCAAACAAAGAACAATAATACCCACAATAAGCAAAAGCAGATGGCTTCAGTGGCAGGAAATGAATGAGCCAGACTGCAGGTAAAATGGCTTTCTGAACACATCTCAGAGGTTTGTAATGACAGGTTCTTTGTTATCTGGGGCCTCCCCACAGGAGGCCAGATGTCTTCTGTTGTGAAAGGAGATAGATAGAGATGCTCTTCCTTTTCCTCCCCCTTTAACTTATGGCTGTTTAAGTTACTGCTAATGGAAGAAGAAGCCTGTTTTTCCCCCTTACTCTCTGATGTTTTTGGAAAGAGAAGAGATAGTTAGTGAAGGGGTATTCTGATATGAAAGGAAAGGCCCAGAACTGGCCTTTACCTCCCAGTGACCTTCATTTTAAAGAACAGGGAAGTCAGTGCTGCTAATTGCACTTGAAAGGATTAGCCACTTGATTGCTTTCATTTGGTGGAAAAAAACTATTCATTAATCTTAAAGTTGAAAAAATGTATCAGAGGTATCAAGACAGTTTCAGTGTGAGGTTGATGACCTAGATGTTTGGCTTATACCAGTTCTGAAATTAAATAGAGGATTAAAATCTTTTTGTAGAAGGGAGAGCAGAAGATGGGGAAGTACATCTGGTGCTCAGAACAGAGCTGGAGCAGGAGTGATAATAACCTCCTTTTTCTTGCCTTATAAAAGGTTTACACAGGAATATCAACATATTAATTATGGATATTAGATGTGCTTGTATCACTTGGTATGAGGAGAACCTCAGTGTAATGCAAGAGTCACAGTAGATGAAGAAGAACCTGAACCAATTCCTGGATGCGGAGTCCAGATTTAAAATCCTTTCTGCACATTGTTTTCACTTGGGAATTAAGAATCTATTTCAAAAGTAAATTAATTTTAATTCCCATTGCTCAAATAAAATGAGCTACAGAAAACTTAAATTTGGAAGCCATTTTTAACCTTATGAAACTATTTTCTGAAAGTAACAGAGCAGCTTATATAAGCTTTTATCTGACCTCTACTTCTTAAATAAAAAAAACATGTTTTCGGGGAAATGTGTCTTGGAAGTACCTTCCCCTCCCCCCAAGATTTTTCTCTCTGGTTCTTGTAAAACACTAGGTCAGCGGGTTCATTTTATTTTTGTTTGCCTGAAGTGAATGAAAGTTTTCATCTCAAATTTGTGTGATTTAAAATCACTTTGAAGATTGCTGTAATATTTTTTAAATCACAAAATAAGAAAAGATAAAGGTGTCAATAAACTATCAAAATTCAAACCAAAAGAGATAGCATTAATCATTGTAAAAAGCCCCAGTAACCTCTCAGTAGCAATAAAATGAATAAGAAATGTATTGCTTCAGTAGCATTGAGACAGGACTGATTTTTCTAACTGCTTGGTACACATGAACTCACAGTGTCATTTACAGTTTTGCAATGTATGTGTATATATTTATATACTCATGCATATACATAAATACACACATTTAAAAACGCTTCTTATTCTGACTTCAAACCTATGCTTCTTGCAGTGCTTTTGTAACTTGCATATTTCATATGCGCTCATATAACTTAACTGACACTTCTTCTTGCATATGGAGATATGTTTTGGCTGTCCATTGAGATGGGATTTTATATGCATTCACCTCTGCAGATGAGATTACAAATCTGAAGTACAACCTCCAGGGAGTATATTTGTAGCTTGTTTAAAGCAGTATTTACTTGGATTTCATGAATATCTTGATGTGTTAAAAAAAAATATATATGTATATATACATATATATACAGCAAATCAGTTGTTTGATTCTGCATGGATTCCTGTGTAATAGTAAAAAAAAAATAAATTCTTGAAGTTTTTTTTCAACGTAGCATTTCTATGCTTACTAGGATATGAGGGCACTCTTCTGGAGAGTATGGTACAGATGATAATTTAATCAGATTTCTGGAGGAAAATATACAACAAACTTTGGAACCTCTGTTAAAACATAATCTATTATAGTTCTTCAATCTGTGTCACTTTGACAAGATTTAGTTTTTTTGTCAGTAAAGCTTATGAAAATATTCAGAAATATGTATCCACCTTATATTCCACCACATTTGTCAATATCTTAAGGCTATAATTTTTACCAACATAATTTTATTTGGCAGAACAACTTAGTATGATTAAAAATATATTTGTACAATTTTGCTCATAAAATAACAGATCCAGTACCTTTGCCAGCACTACCTTTACTGCTAGCGCTTGGCAAAGGCACACACACAAAAACACTCACACATGATGACTCTGCCAGCAGTCCTATGCGTACCAGCAAAAATTAAATCAGAAAAGACAGTCTTATTTATGCCGTGCGAATTTGTACAGTATTGCAAAAGAAATAACACAGTGGATTCAGTCTGCTTAACTTAAGGAAGTCCTGTCAGGAATGGTGAGGTCAGAACCACAATCTATCATATTTCTTGTCTCTGTATATTTAGCTTAGGTCCTGAAAAAAGATCTACATTTTCAGATAACTCCAAGTGCGCAATGAGCCCTTTCTGCTGCTTTGAATATAAGAAGATGGCATCTACAAAATTTTACCATGATATCCCATAATGATAGAAGTTAGTGTTCGCCAAAATAATAATGAACTTATACACTTGACACTTGAATTCTGTTTGAAGGAGTCTACAATTATCCAGAAAACTGAGAATAATTTTAATACAACAGTACGTGAATGGTACTATAGAAATCATGCACAGTACAATGATATTTAAAGAGATCACTTTTCTATAACAAGGACAATTTTTGGAGTCAGTCATCAAGCATGTAATTTATACTCCATTTACTCAGTGTGGCTTTTCATTTACTGTTGTCCCCAATCCTCTATTAAATACTGTTCTAATAACTTAAGGATGTTTTTGAGGTCATGTAACTGAAATCAATCTGACTAGATAAAACATATGAAACATCCAAAACATAAATAATTAAAGAAGCTAGCATGCAAAATCCTTTTTTAGAGTTAGATCCATATGGGACAAAGGCCAAACCTCTCCAATCCCCACCTGAAGAAATTCATTGTGATTAGCAGATCAGGTTCAAACACTACAGTACAGTATTCAGTAAACTGTTAATTCTATTCAAATAATTTAAATCAGACTGCTCATCTGAGTAGTTCTGCAGCCTTATGTGTACATGTGATGCACACATAAGGTTACTTTTAGAGGAAAACCCTTAGCCATGACTAAGAGTACCATCTGTTTCCAGATTTCAGTCAGGTAAAATTACATTATTATGATAGATCATCATTACAAAAGAAAAAAAATAAAAGGTTGTTACCTATAGACAGATAGTTTATTCTTTTCCTGTGCCACACTTGGCATTTTTAATCAATGTGTACATAAATGAAAAGAAAAAAAGCAGATTATCATATTGTCCTTTGTAGTTCTCTTTCAAAATCTCCTGGTGATAATCCACGAAGAAATAATAAATTGCTTCTATTGTGGAAAGGTATGTATCTGGCTTTCCTTTCTGATGACGCCAAAAGCAAGTTTTCCTTGTTTTCAACTCAATTTGTAGTAACCCTGTCAAGAACAAAAAATTGACATGGATTAGAGAAGATGGATTAGGGGATAGAATGCCGAACAAGCCTTCAGTTGCTCTGGTTTTGGCTTTGCTGCTAGCCTGCTATATGCAAATAATTTCCCTCCTCCACCTTCATTTTTCAGCTGCAAAATGGTGACAATATCTTCTTTGTGGTTCACTTTGAAATTTGATGGAACAAGTCAAGAAACTCCAGAGCAGAAAATGTTAAGTAATGAGTAATTATGGCTCGTGCCTATGGTAGTTAGGAATTCTATTGTCTTAGTACTGTGCATGTTGTTATTGTAACTATATTGTTAATTTTCTGAAGAGGTCTTAGTAGCAGCTTGAAAATGCTGTTTGAGGCAGGAATTCCACCCCCTCCCTAATCTTCTGTGTTCCCAAATTTTATGAGTAACTTTCAGAGTTGGATTTGCAGAATGGCAGAGGTGGTAAGGAACCTTAAGAGATTTTTGAGTCCCACCCCCTGCTAAAGCAGGTTCCCTACACTATGTCACACAGGTTGGTGTCCAAATGGGTCCTGAGCATCTCCATAGAAGGAGACTCCACCATCTTTCTGGGCAGTCTGCTTTACCGTGCTGTCACCCAAACTGTAAAGTGAGAGATGAAAAGGACAAGAGATTGATCAGCCAAAGTGGATGTAGGGAATTTTTATGATTTTATATACAGGTATTTCATTTAACCTTTTCTGTAGCAATAACAACTTTTTTCTTTTTACCTTGAAGTCTTTCATCAGTTATTATTTTATTAGTTTGATTCCAGGTGCTGTCAATAAATATTATTTTCTTCAGTTTAGTGCTTTCATTCATACTGTTTGAGATGCATTCATTTATATCTTTTTCTTCTGTAGGTTCTACTCTTGCTTTCTTAAGAAATGGCTCTTTGGAACCGTCATCGTAAGTGTCACCAACACCTTTCCTGGAGTACTTTTGGAGATGGAAAGCAATGTCTTTTACTGAAACTGAATCGGGGCCGGGAAAGATAAGTGCCACCTAAATTAAGAAAATAAATGAGATCTGAGCAATATGCTAATGAAACAATAACAATTATTTAATTAAAGAATAGAAACTTTCGATCCCCGCCCACAAGCATTTAAGTCAGTAGAGAGGGAGAGTTTCTCTTTAAGTATTAATATTTTATATACGTATTTTTCTAGTAAGCTAAAGGATTGCATTAAAATAATGAATAAAGACAATTTTAAAGATGTTTAAATCTGGCAGATGCTGACTAGGATGAGCAGAATACCCATCTGAGTATTTTTGAGTATCTGGATATAACACTTCTTACAGTACATGGTATCACATTATCTGCTGCCTAAGGCTTAGATGGTGCTGCAATATCTTCAAGCTTTGCAGGACAGACCATAACCATTATACGTTTGTAGGCCCATGCTTTCAGATGTTCAAGATGGAATGGACTGGATTAACAGAATAGTGCTTCCCATTCTCTCCCAGAGGAGAGTGGTATCAGTTGCAGAAGGAAGCATGGAAGATAGCTCTGTTTTTTTTTTTCCCAGTGCGAAGCCCTGTTATTTACATGGAATTTCTTACTTCATGTCTTTTTTCTTTGTATTCAGGAATGCAAGGGTACTTGTAAATTGTAACATCATCAGGTGCCAGGAGCTTAGCATGCACAGCAGTGCTCTTGCCATCAGTTTCATTTGGGTGCTTAATAATGTCAATCTTCAAAGGTAGCTAAAGCAATGAAGAAAAAAAAAATATTATAAAAAACATATACAAAAGCTTATACAAAATTCAGGATAAATCCTTATGCACATGTAATTAAGACATATTTCTTTCAAATAGTTTACAATTATTTTTTTCATGTTTAGAACTAAACCAGACACAAGTGACAAGAAGCACCTGTCACATTCTCTGACTTCATGTAAATACCTAAGTATGCAATGAATACAATTTGGAATGCTGTAGCACTATGTGCTTAAAGAAGCTTGAGAAATAGTATCAACAGATAGATAAGATATGGGCTTAATTTAAGCAATATAATGGTCTTAAAATATATACTCATCTGTATTACATATTCACCCTTGGTTATGGACAAATCATACCTTGTTCACAGTACATTTTGTACAAGTCAGAATTCTTATAAGCTGAATGAAGGTAAAGAAGGTACTTTTAAAAATGAAGTAAACACTTATGAGTGACTTCTGCTTATCTTCCTAACAATTAGGCACATAAACATTTATGTGAAGAGTGGCACACTGTCAGTGCCTGTGCATGTAATTTTTCAAATAAGAACAATAATTTTATCTAAATGGAGTTTATTCATTCATTATCACTTCTGTGTTAAAAATTACTGTTGGTAAAGAATGAATTAGAAAAGAAATGATCACAGACCATCTGTTTTATGTCCCTAGAAACTAAAAGACACAATAATATTATAAAAGATTTATAAGAAATATTAACCTTCACTGTTGGGATTTCTGTGGTAGGGACAGTTTCAACAGGAACAAAGCATGTGTAACAATAAAACATCCTTGAGCTACTGCATCGTGGGCATTTTGATCTCCCACTTTTTTTTGCCTTTTCAAGTACTTCCTGTGATGCTAACTGTAATTTTTGAAGCGGGTTATCTTGAAATGATGATGGAGTCTGCTGTTCTAGACTTCTTTTTGGTCCCTGAGAGTTTTCTTCATTTAGAATTGTAGATGAATTTAAAGACATGGTTAGCTGAAAGAGACAATGTGATTTACCTGTAAAATAAAGATCCGTTACAGTATAATTGTAAAGAGATTATTCTATATGATCCTACATATGATCCTATCAACAAATGTATTTTCTATAACAAAAAATAGCACAATCATCTGACCCAGTTATAGCAGTACCAAGAACTCCAAACAGATTTCAGGAGCAAATAAACAGCCAGAGAGAACTTGAGATGTGTATTGTTACTGCACATATGCTCATCATTTTACCCAGATAACTTAGCCTAATCACTTTTTTTTTTCCTAGGGGCAGGATATGTGTCTACAAGGTAACAACAGATACTGCAGGAGCAGTCCCATCAGTTTTCAGCATGGCTACTGGTAAGGAATTAAACGTCTACAGGACAGAGAGCTGTGAAATCTAACTGTAACTAGACTGGGATCTCTGTGCTGAAATGTATTGTGCACAGGCAGGCAAACAAACTAAATTAAATTCTTGTTGACAGAGCTTTGTGAGAGAAAGGAAATGCTCCAGGAACAAAGCCTGAGGCTAGATTAACGCTTCAGAAGAGCAAAAACAGGGCTGTGGTGCTAGCTGGTAAGCACTGACGGTCTAAACTCGTTCTGCAGCTGAACGTTTTGTTCAGGAACACTGAGGGAACAGCCTTTTTTGCAGGCTTTCTTCACGACAGGCTCAGCGGTCGGTGCAGAGCTTCCTCTTCGCTTTGAGTAGCGCTGCCTGCCCAGCCGGGACAACAGCTGTGCGCAGCCCCAGGGACGCTGCCTGCCCGCCTCGGTCCCGCCGCTCTTCAGCCCGTGCGGGAGGAGCCGCCTGCAGGAGCTGCGAGCTGCACACGCACACAGAGCAGTGATCCCGTGTTTACCTCTGCCTAAACGAGGCTGCCTTTCATGTCGGGGATCGCACTTGAGAAATGAAGTAACCCAACGGCCCCGCTTAACGACAGCAAACCAACAGCAGTTCCCCAGCTGTCCGAAGGAAGCCGTTTCGATAAAACCAAGCGTAATCTAATTGAAAAACAACAAAGATAAAACGCTCAGCGAGCGTTCCTTTACGATAGGAATGTAAAATAAATCCCGGAGAAATGAAATATTTGTGCATGCTTCGATACCTCTCCCTCCCGCAGCGACAAGCTTTAACATTTTAAAGGTCAGGAAAACCCACTGAACAGTCAATCCCAAGGCGCAGACAGGTTCCTTGCTGCGATCTGCTTTTCGGGAGCTGGGAGCGAAAAGGCCGAACCAGGCCCGCACCGCAGGACAGCGGGCACCGCTTCCGCGACGGCAAAGGCCTCTGCAGAGCCGCCGGCTCCCGCCGCCCGCCCGGCCCCCGTCCCCGCCGTGCCCTCGCCGTGGGTCGCGCAGCTCCCGCCGCTCCCCGCCCCGCCGGGCCGGCTCCCAGCGCGCGCCGCGGCCCCGGAACGCCCCGGAACGCCAAGGGCGGGCTGCGCGCCGCGGGAGCGGGGCCGGAAGGACGTGGCGGCATCGCGCTTTGGCGGGAAATGGTTGCCAGGGGCCCTTAGCAACGGCACGCGCCGGCCTGCAGCGCGCGGCCGCCCGTCTTCAGCTCTTCGGCGTGTTCTACCCCATACTTTTTTTTTTTTTTTCCCACCCGGTGCGCGTAACGCCATGCTTACGGCTGACGCCGAGGGCTGGAGAATTTTGTCACGGTGCTTCTTTGTCATTGCTGCTGTTTTTCATCTCTCTCTCCACAGGGCTGCAAGCTTCTCCGCGCAGCTCGTGCTGAGTGCGGGCGCTGCGCTGCTGTGGCGTCCCGTGGTCACCGCTGCGCCGTTAGGCTGAGCTGCCTGTGCAAAGCTGTAATTTTGGTATAAGAGCTGTTTATCTTGACCGAGCCAAAGGCAGTCTGTGGTGTCTTAGTTGCAGGAGCCCTAGGGCAAGAATTAGCATTTCTTACGTCTTGTTTGTGCTTGCAAATAAGAGTGTAAGTTGAGTTTTTTCTTGTGCTCGACCTGGGATGTGTGAGTCGACTGATTTCTGTCAGACTTCTGCTTGTTTACAATCCTCGCGTTGCTTCCAATTTATAAACAAAACCGGCACATATAAAAGCAGAGCAGACCTACTTGGTGATGCAACTTTCACATTTTTTCCCTGTATATATTTTAAAAGTACATAAATGATATAAATATCTTGCTACTTTGCATGGATATGCCTAGAAGAAAAGGAAAGTTCTGTTTTTATGATTGTCTCTTCTTTAGCGTCTTTCTTAACATTTAGGAATGTGATTCTTCTGCTTTTTGCAGAAATGACTACGAATGAGCTGTGTGTAAGCTACAGTGATTGCCTTAATTGTAAATTTTGATAATCCAGAGTTTAAATATATGCTCACGTGTGTTGTTTTATGGATTTTAGGGCATTCTGGTGAGAACAATTCTTACTGTATGTCAGTCAAAAATGGAAAAGCCTCCTTTGACTTTTGAAGAATTCCTACGGTCTCAGGACTTGGTGAGTCTGACTGCTTGTTATTTTAATAACCCATGTGTACAGCGGAGTGAACACACAGAAGTGGGGTCGTGAGCAAAGCCACGTGAATGTAAATATCGAGAACTGAGTTTGAACACGGATTGTATTTCCTAAACCCTCAGGCATTGGAAATAAGAGGTTTGCAGCAATGGCAGCCCATCAAGAGTGGCCTTTCTGTTAACTTCCTTTTTCCAGAAAGGTAAACCACGGAGGAAGTTTTTGTCTGCTGTAAGCACTTGTATTGTTGGAAGCATGCTTGAATGATGACACTGACCCACGCTTTATTTAAAATATTTGATCAGACCACAGCATTACAAACATAACACAAAGTGCTGAACCCTAAGGCAAAATGTGCTTATGAGTATGGCAGGGTGAACAGCTAGCTACTTTTGTTTTTTAATGAGGTTGCTTTCTTTTCTTGTACTGGGAAGCATTTAAGGGAAATCTTTCAATATGCTTTTATATTTTGTTAAATAATTTAATATAATGTGAATACCAATGATTCCTCAAAATTACACTATTCTTGAAGGAAACAGAAAATTCCTTTTGACCTGCCTACATAATCTGCAAGTACTGACTCACTCAAAGCCTCTAACTGCAGAGCTATGAGGAAAATAGTTCCTCTTCACTGAACCAAAGCTTTTTATCTCATGTAAACAACGAAAGAAAAATGTTTAAAAATGTTTTGTCAAGTGGAACATTTCATTATAAGAATTTAATTTTTACTTAAGGACAATTTATTTGAAGAAACAATCTGATATAAAATTGGAAGCATTATAATTTTGGATGGAAACATTATAATTCTGGATAATATCAAAACAAAATATTAATATATTTTAGTTTTTCACTTGGTTTTATTTGCTTTTTCCTTTTCTATCCTGAAATGCTTGTATGTATTACTGGTTTGCTCTTCATTTGATTTGGCAGGGAGAAGGGAGAGAACAATTTGTTTTTCTGTCCAGCTATTATGGTAGAACATGTCATTGTTTTTCAGCTCTAGTAGGGATTTTAAAAACAAATTGATCGTTCCATATTAACACAAAGTTATTTCAGGGAAGTAACCAATTTGATGATTGACTTCAAATGACTAAAATCGGTTTCAACAGGTTGTTCAAATGTTTAAGCTACTAGTTTTAATTCTTCACTGAGCAAAGAGCAGTTTCTTCTTACGCTTCCAAGGCTGTTCTCAACAGATGGAAGACATTACTGTCCTTTCAGAGAACTTAAATTGCACATGATTTTATTTGTCTCTTTAGAAACATAACAACCCTTTTTTTCCCTGAGTTATCTCTTTTTCTAACTAAAAAGTTATAGTGCTTTTAATTGCTCTGCATATGCTATAATGGGCCTCCTTGGCCTATTTCTGTTTTTCCCTCTTTTTGAGATGATATAATCATCTCTGAATGCGGCACATGGAGCAGCAGGAAATTGCAGTCTATGTTAGCGATGTTGCCAAGATCTGATGTTCTAGAAAACTGTAAGTAAAACGTGCTTATACTGGTATTGCAACTCTTTATCCAGAATAAATTTCACAGGTTACCAAATTTAATCTTTCCATTTATATCGTGTTCAGAAATAATTATTTTTGATGTGTTCTGATTGCAGAAGGACTGGCCAAGATATGTCTGTTTGGATGAGCCTTATTCTTTGGTGGATAACTTAAGAAAAGACTGTTCCTTCAGCGCTGTCTCTAAGAGGCTGTATGAACATGCTCCACTGACCGTCAGTTCACTCTCAGATTTGGAGAGGAGAATGAATACATGCCTTATTGAACTAGAGAAACATGCTGAAAGAATCTTTTCATTACAGTGTGGACCAGCATCTCTAGAAGAACAGCTAATTGCCCCTGAACAGAGTAATAATCATTTCACATTTTTAAAGTAGAAACTGTAGTTAGAAAATGAGAAAAAAAACCCGAATGCCTTCAATAGATGTACGTAACTAGTGATTTCTGCCTACTTCTTGGTAACAGTGTAGACTAATAGAAAAAAAAGAAATGAATGTAAATGTAGATAGAATTTGTAGTAGAGTTTGCAGAATTCCAGAAATTTAAGTAAATAGTGCATGTTTGAAGTTTCCTAGGTACCATTTAAAACACAGATACTGTTCCAGAGAAGTGTTTACAGCTTTTCCTCATTTGCAAGTACGAAGTATGAATTTTATAATTTAAAAAACCTAACAAGCTGAAGTCCCAGTTCTGACTAGATCATAGCAACATTTTGTTTCAGACGTAACAAAGTGTCTATGAAAACATGTTCTCCACAGATCTTGGTGTCCTTATAAAGTAAGGATGAGACGTGTAGAAAGACAAAAATGGTGATTTTCAAGTCTTCCAGTCCTTGCAGTAGTGCAGTAGGATGATGCAGCATCTTGTTTTGTGCATGTATGCATTTAGACATAGTTATGGATAAATGAAAAGTTTTTGTTTGATTAGAGCTTTTAGTCCCTACAATCATCAATCCAGATTCTATTTCTTGATAATTTTGCTAATTTTTTTAAAGAGATTTCTACTGAGCAAATTGATTCAGAGCTTCTGACTTGGGAAAGTGAGACGAGGAAAACAAAGGTATATTATGTAATTATGTATTTTTAGTTCTCTTTGTGGGTTAGATGAGGAAGACAAAATTTGCAAGTCTTTTCCTTGGATCTAGAAGTTAGATTACATTTACCTTTGTATATTTTTGGGGTGGGGAAAAAACTATACAAAACAAACAGCCACATTTGAAGTATTTTTTTCTTTATATCTCTAAGGGTATTTTGTAATATACATCACCTAAAGTCTCAGTTTTAGACAGTTGCTCTTAATCTAAATCACACTCAAAGTTCATAGTATGAATTTTCCTAGCTGAAAATATTACTTATTCAATTGTGTGGAATAACCTTTATTTTGAATTGTGAACTTAATAACTTCCAGGCTGCCAAACGCATTACTGAGGAGTCAAAGGGTTGAAATGTAGAGGTGAGCTTTATTGTGTTAATTACATTTTTAAAATTATATGGCATTCTTTCTTATAAACATGTTTTGAGCTGTAAGTCAAAGGAATACCTCTGATACCAACCCAAGGGAAGAAAAACTGAGATTCATTCAAGATTCAGTATTAAATTTTCTAGACTACTTGAATTTAGGTGTATTTCATAATGGAAATTCCAAATACAGTATAAATATACTGGGTAGTTTTATTCATTTGATTTTATCATCAACTGTTGGGAATGTCATTTGTGACTTTCCAGTAAGGAAAGGGGGCCTGAAGAAAAGATGTCTGTCATAGTTTGGAATATCTTGACTCTGGTATGTCTTGAATGATGGTTGGATGCTAAGCGCAATCACGTTCTTTTTTTTTAATATTAATGTGAATCCTCTTAGAACTAAGACATAAATTACTAATAAGCTAGTGAGTTAATATGCTGAGTGATGCAAAACCTAAAAGACTATACTGTATTTGTTATTTGGTCTACTAAAACTCAACTAAAGATTCAGTTAAAGAAACTATTGAGATATGTAAATGTAACAAATTCTCTGCTAGATTCTTGTGGGACATCTTGGAAGTGTAATAAATAGAAAGCACGGTTGCTCCTTACGTATCTGCCAATGGGATAGATCTCTCTAAGAGCTTGTGCAGTCTTCATTTTTGAAAATGCAAGATAAAGCCTTGAGAACCTGTGCTGGTCTCTCTCCTGAGGTCCCTTCCAGCCTGATTTAGCCAATGCTCCTGTAATATTGGTATCAGTTGGTAAGAAAGCAAGTAACTATGGTGGTAATACAGACAATGTACATTCTGCATTGGACACTCTAGCCTAAAGAAAATACCTTAAATAACTCAATCAGCTCATTTCAAACCAATGCTACTCACTGGGCAGACAGACTCTTACACATAGTGTAATGTTGAAAGTCACTGTATATGCTGTATGGCCAGTCAGAAGCTTATACTTGACTGGAAACTGATAGAGGAGCAAATATGCCAAATATATCCAAAATGGCCAAGAAACAGTATCATCTCAAATTGAAAAAAATAATATGTATAGGTTAAAAGAAGCAAAAAGCCCAGCAAGTATGAAAAATTGAATTGGGTTTACTCATTCTTTTTAATAGAAAATATTTTTTTTTGAGAAATCTTGCAAGATACAAAGTGTGTCAAAGGTTGAAGCGATCATTTCATGTACTTTGACAGACTTATGGTAAAAAAAAGAAAGCAATTACAAAAGAAAGTGTTATAAAATAGAGTCACCAGCACTGTTGAAGAATCCTTTGTAGATTTTAATTTAGAAAAAAACTGCTTATAAGTTTGAAATGCTGTTTTCTCAGCGCAGCATCACTGAGGGAACGTAATTATCAGCTTTAGTTACTGAAGATTTTTCTTTTCTTTTTAGAGCTGTAGTTACCCTCGTTTCAAAAACCAACGTTTAGAATTATCAAGACATTTGGAAGCTTCAAAACTTCGAGACTTAGTTATAAAAGAATGATATTGCCAAGTATGTACTCTTTGCTTCAATATCCTAATCACAAGCTGCCAATAAAGAGTAATGCAAAATATTTTGACTCATTCATCTTCGTATGTTCCACTTTCAGACAGGTTTTAGTATCACTATTAGCATTGATTGAAGTTACAAAATTGCCAGATCTAGGAACTGTTTAGTTTTAACTCATTATTGTTGAAGAATTCTTCTAGCTGCCCTGTCCTGTGTCCTGCAATTGGCCAGTAATTAAAGTAGTGAAACAAGTAATCTAACATTCATATTAAACTTAAAAAGAATTTCAAAAACCAAGTAAGCTCAGGGAACATGTAATTTTCTATTACAGACTCCTTGGCATGTGTGTTACACATCATGTTGAATTACATGGGTTTTTTTGTTTGCTTTTTTACTGTATCATTGACTACTCGTATCTCATAGCACTCAGGGAATGGTTGAACATTATGCACAAAGAGAAAGGATTGCCTGTAACACCTCAGTCTAATTACTGCAGGAATTGTAATCTTGTTTAAGTATGAATTTGCAGCAAGTATGTAAAACACTTGAATGCTATTATGCAAATGAATTCCAGATGAATTTCTTCTGTGTGATCATATGCTCGTACTCTGTAGCTGGTGGGCATGAACCTCATGGCTATGAAACTGATCTTGCATTAGCATATCAAACAGGGCCTCACCACACATGTTGCTACTATATGCTCATGTCTCCCACCTGGAGACAGATATTCCTTATTTCTTTCATAAGACCACAGAAGAAAAATGAAGACAGTATTCAGGAGCTTCTCGGTGTCCTGTTAATTAATGGCTCTTTTTCATTAGGCGAAGAAAGATTTATTTGTTGTTATGCTAATTCCTTCAGTATGTGTGCACTCATCTTTTACTACTGATCAGGGATCCTTATTCTGTCTGAAGTTACAGCTTTCACACCTGCATCTGGACTAAATGAGCCAGGAAAATTGCAGTTGACAGTTTGAAGTATTATTGTAATTGTAACCTTTCTATTCTAATTTTCTACTTATTTCAGTGGGAATTAGCAGTGTCTTCAAATTCTTTGGTTACTTCATTAGCAGACAAATGAAAAGGCATGGTCTTTTCTTGCATGGCCAGTACTTTAATCCATGGTTGAAAAGATAGGGATAATTTAGAGCTATGTCTCTGCTGTCTTTGTCATCAGCCTTAGATGGTGATCTCTGTTCCTGTAAGCTGTTAGCTGACCCAGGGTAACATTTTCCTTGGGAAAGTCCATTTGTGGAGGTGACCCAGTGTCACTGCCACCACTGCTGGGATGCATCACTCACTGCCTCGCTGCACTCACATCCAATGTTGGTCTCCATAAATGTTCAGCAAGTGTTGGTAAATTTTGATGGGTTTAAGAACTTTGGCTATTTTTGCTTAAATATATGCAAACATAGCCAGATAGCCAAGGTACAAGTAATATCAAAAACCTTTTAGCACTTCTGCACTGGTTCTGGAACAACTTTGAATCGGTGCTTGTGTCCAAATGGAAGTTTATCTGGTACCTGTATCTGCTTTGTTGCTAGGATTAGTTTCACTTATTTGTGCTCTTGCATTTTTTAAATTAAATTTAATTTAAAATTTAAATGCAACAAGTGTGATTTGCTGCCTTGTTAATTTTGTGTAACTTACTTTTTGTGGTTTTAACTCTATATATTTAAACATTTTGTGGTAACTTTAGTGAAAATTAACTAAAAAAAAAACCTCAAACAGAATAAAACAAAAAAACACTGAAGAGCTGAGAGAGTTGTTGGTAACCAGCAAATGCAGATGTCTCCCCATCATTTATGATGACCTAATGGTGAGGTGCCCAAAGAATCTGCTTTTGTTCTCAGTGGAAGCTGAATATTTCCCTGCAAGCTTTTTTTCCTTCAGTATTTCCTCAATCTGAAAGAAAGCTCCCATTTTCTTCTGGATTGTGTTCCAAATGAAAATCCTTGCATTTCCTGTCCTTGTCTAGTTTCAGTTTGTTCTGTGGTTTTAAGATTTTAGAATTGCAGCACTCAGCATAATAAATATTTCATTGTTGGTTTGACAGAAGGAAGTTCTTGAAGTCTGGAGAAACTTGTTTCTCTCAAAATTATCTATTGCAGCATTTCAGGATTTTTTTTTCGTGCTGCTTCCTCCAAAAGTTTAAAGGTATAAATGAATTTGATGCATTCCTAGGTCTGTTATTATCAAAGAAATAAGCTGTAGATTCTTCAAATTGGTTATAGATGAAGACCAGTACATCAATTACAGGCTGAAGACTAACTGACATATAACTTTAAACAGCAGTAGTTGAACACACAAACAGCTAATTTAGTTAGCAGGTTTATAGCATGATGCCTATAATAAGCATTTGGATCAGAATTGTTTGTGATACTTTGCTTACTTTGTGTATTGATGCTAGGACTTGCATAAGGTATGATTTAGCAGTATTTAGGTTAAGAATATAGATTAAAAATGTATATATTCTATTACCTCAGGTGATCACTGTGTTCTTTATTAAGAAGAGAAGGAAAATATTCAAATGGTTGGAGATTGTGGTTATATACAATGGCTTCAATTCAGTACAGCACTTAGATTCCATCTTAATTACTGGCTGGTACACCACATATGCTTCAAATAATAGACATTCTTAAGTATGCTTCTGAATCAGGAACTACTGCAGTATACTTAAAAAAAAATCTGTCAGTACAGAAGAAAATATTAGAATAAGAAGTGGAATTATTTTAAGAATATATTTCAGTATTGTATATATACAGAAAGATGCTGTATTGTGGCTCATAAAAGTATTAGCATGTCACATAAACAAATTTACACATATCCAGGTTGACAGTGTTTGGCTGCACAAGGGAGTGCATGTATGCAAGAAGAGAGAGGGCAGTCAGAAATATTGAGGGAATCTAGAAATTATCACTTCTTTGTCACGAAGTTGATTTTTTGGCTCATATAATGTGTGAGTAGTAAAACAATGTTAAAAGATGAGAAATTTGTAAATTTCGTGTTTTTAATTAGCTACCATGATCAGCTCAATATCATTAAAGAATATTTTATCCTAATTTTAGGCCTTAGTGTCTTGTTGAAAGTACATAATTTGTTTAAATCACTGCCCTCCAATTCCATCTTAACTGGGAGCTTTGATATTGGCTAAGCACATTATAGAGAAGTGCATTCACTTGGTACAGCTGCCTGATGTTTCACACAAGTAATAGAAGGGAGCACTATTCTTTTTTTAGAAGGATGACTTTGCAATTACTGCAAATGAGTATTTTTACATTAGCTAAAAAGATTGTAGTATGAAAGCTCTTTTCGTAGCTCTGTTAGATACAGTGTTATTCTTGTATTGGCTGGTGTATCCTGATTGTTTGTCACAAATACTTTACATCACTTTCTGTGAAGCGTTTCCTGAATTCCTTAGAAGATTTGATGATGATTTTATGGACGGATTGGTAGACTTAATTTTTCAATGGATATCAGGTACTGTTTTTCTGTTTTCGTCCAGACCACCAGATTTCATTTCAGTGAGAATCTATAGCTCCGTTTTTCCCCCCGTAGTAGAAAGATACATGAATATAAAAAAAAATGGAAATACTATTGTCAAAGCTGGCAACATCTTTCTTCTGATTGTTGGCAAATGAATATGATTAAACATTGTAAAACAGTACTCTGGAAAGGAAACAAAGAATCTGAGCTGTTTATCTCTGGCATTATTTCTCTTTCTTTAGTCAAAAAAATAAAACTGGATTTGACCTTTCAAAATGCTTTTGCCAAAAATGTATCAAAGTATGTCTGCAACATACTTTGATTGCTAAGCTGTGCTGTATCAATGCCTTGGCAATTTAGTTTAGTATTCTGTTGTCAGCTGATACTGTGGAAGCATTCTGCATTCTAATTATTTACTTGAGCAGTGAGATTAGCTGGGCATGACCTCCCAGTGTTTAATAATGATGAAGTCTTGCTGTGAATTATGAGAAATTTCAGACAACCAGATTACCTTTCTATCTTTCTATTGTAATACAATTAAGCTACAGTTTTGCAACTATTTCTGTATCAGATGATTGAGAATTAAAAATTGTTCCCCATTAAATTAAGCTATTTCTGGGGCAAAATCCCCATATGAATGTTGCATTAGAACTATGAGTGTAGCGAGAGCTCTGATGTCGCTGAGTGTTTCAAAGCTTGTGTGTCTCAGAGTCCAAGTGAGTGGCAACTGATAATCTCTTTAGAGCTGGTGGTTATCAGCATAATGCTGAAAAGAAAGTATACTATTTTGAAGATTACATATATGCTCTAATCCAGTCCTGTTATTGCTTTACAGCAGTGATTCTGTTCTGGCATAGCTCCTGTAGCTGTAAAAGTACTGAAATATTATAGAATTAGCCAGCGAGGATGTAATCATACCTGGAGACATAATTGAACTGATGAATGCTGATCATTTCAGTGCTTTCTTTGTGATACAGTATAGAAGAGTTATTGTTAAGAATCTACAGTAAGCACATAAATGCAGCCAGGATAGAAGTCATATAATTCAAGTAAAGCACAAGAAAAACTGTATTTCTGAGAAAGCTGCTGAACATGGTAAGCATAGGTTGCTTTTTGGTTAAACAGAAGACTAGGAGGTCTTCCCCATTGATTATTTGTAGGAGGCCTTGAAGTTATTTCTCTATTAGAAACCCCAAACCAGAAGAAAAGTATAAATATGCGTACAGGATTCTTGACTGTACCTGTCCTAGAAGCTTCCTTTGGAAATGACATTACCATTAAATATCACCATGTCTTAACAGTGTTTATGATTCTTAGATCGTACACATTATTTAATATCCATTTCAAAACTTAGATTTAGAGCAGATTTCTATCTTTAGTTCTTGTTTATTTAGATTTCATGGCAATGTGGAATTCATTATCTTGTATGTTGAAGCTGATTGACAAATGCAATAGAAATGTGTTTTTGAAGTAGGCACAAAATACAAAAATATTTTCTCAAAACCTTTCTCTATGTCAGTCAGCGTTTCTTGAGCAGAATTTTCTTTTTAGTTACAGACAGAGAAAATTATGTATAGAAATAAAAATACCCTGAAAAATCTAATTTGGAGAAGGTTTACATATTTCAAGGTTCTATGCACCAAACCTCAAGTGGGCCTTTAACTTGAAAGAGCTGCATAAACCCACAGTAAAATCTGTAATGTGTAAAAATAGATAATGGATAGAATTAACTGAAATTTAGTCAGACTGAAAAAAAAAAAACCAACAAGGATATTGCTGTTATGGCAGAGGTTCTGTATCTGCATGAAATTTATAGTGTGGGAGCTGTGCAGAATTCTAC